GGCAGGTTACAGTCACTGTAATGTTGATAGAGGCTGTAATACACGTTGTTTTTTTCTTTGTAATTAGTTAAACCCTTCTTTTATTCATCTTTGATTAGTAGACTATCTATCATTTGCTATTGCAACGAGTTCTTTTTAGCTACAGGTTTACAAGATTATTTGCATTTTCATTGGGTAGAAAAACATTCGTTTTCCCAGAAAGGCCTAAAGTTGTATTTAAAACATGCAATTACAATTGTGTTACAAGAATAAGAAATGCTTTGCTGAACATATACTACTTATTATAGCTCTCTGACTGACACAGATCACCATGCTATTTGTAGCACAGTGAGGCCAGTTTAACCAGTTAGGTCAGTCCAGTTAAAACCACATTAAACATTCGTTAGTGCAAAATAAACAGAAACCTACAGAGGAGGTTTGGCAGGTCACAGTCTGAAGGAATGATGTCACATGTATGTTCTTCCATGACTGTATAAGACATTAGTCAGCATAGGGAAGCCGTTTACAGGAATGTCTTAGGTTTGGTGTAATTGATTGTCAGAGTTTGTTTTCCTGAACTCATTCACTTCCGAACTCATTTAGCATATCTAAGGTCTCATTTTTAATCCCAGGCTCATATTTTAGTCGTGATTCTTTCTGTGTCAAAACTATTTTCTATTGTGGTTGCATGTTAACAATCACATGTACTTTATGTCTGAGAAATGGAGAAACAAGATTGGTGTTTTATGTAATAGTTTGGATAAATCAAGCTGATCAAACCAGTTTGGAGCTTTCAGTGCTCGTTTGAGAGACTTTTGGATTCACTCTGATGGTGTTTAGTTCTGTCAGTTTGTTTCCGTTGTCGGACTGGAAACAGCAGTGATGATGTCAAATCTTAATATCCAAGGCAGGAATTATCATGGTTTTAATTCCTTGAGGAAACTGAATCTTAAATTTTACATAATGCAAATGTTTAAATATGACTATATTAGGATATTATTTAAACATTGAAGGAGTCGTGGCTACAAGTACATTTGCAAAAACCTTCAGAAAACCCACGTCTCCATCGTCTACCTGAGACAATATCAGTCTAACTTAAGTTATCTCTATTTTTGTCATTTCTACTGAGTCAAATCCACTCAGCTTCAGTTCGACTGATATTATCTCAAGCAAACAACAACAAAATCTGTTTTCTGAAAAAGGAGTTATCTGTTTTTGCAAATGAACTCTTCAAATGTAGGCAGTGACAACACAAACAGTCTTAGCTTTGTGGCTAAAGTGATCTTTTTTTGCAATAGACTGTGTAATTAATGAGTTGAATAACCGCTGCCACAAGGAGATGTGCAGGAATAGTCTGTCCCTACTAACCAACTAACCACTTCATACGCATCGCAATGCAGCATTTTGGCGTCTCACTAAAGATCCTTAGAGCACAGGGAGGAGCTGTTATTGTCCTGCTGGTATAAATGAAGCGATGGATGTTTTAAGGATCCCGTTGCAGTGAAATCATCTTCATGTAAACTACCCTTCATGCTGTTTTAGAGCATTTTCAAAAACCATTTCCAAGAGCTAATAAGCAGTCAGGAAATGGCAATGCCCATCAGCCATCAGTATCACATTTTCATTGTTGGCTTTTATGACAGATTTTTTAATGAGTAAAAAAAAAAAAGTCTGCCTGGCAGCTGCAAAGTGGGTCCGAATTTAATTACAGTTATTCGAGCTTTCCTACAGAACCAAAAAATTAACATCGGAACATTTTATGTGACATCATCATCGGCGTAGTTAGTGCCACCGAGAACGAGCAGGACGTTTCCACAGCACTTTGCATTATTTATATCTTCTGTGTGGAACAGAAACTTTTATCATCCAGAGATCCAAAAACGACCAGAATTCATGTGGTGGCAGCTTGTAAACAGACCTGCAGTCTGCTCAGGGGGGGGAAGCTCATCAGAGATTAGAAAGACAAGAGTGACCCCGTGGCTTTGACATGCTGACATTTTAACGCATGAGACGCTCCATTATCTCCCTCCCTTATTCAGTCCCTGCTTCTCCCCCCCTACTCTCCGTCTTTTGTCATCTTTTCCCTCGGTCTGTCTTCACATTTACCCCAAAGAGACGTGACAGAAGAAGAAGAGGAGGAGGAGGAGGAGGAAGAGGAAGAGGAGGAAGAGTCGCGGGGGGGATGTTTAAATAAAAAGTTGAGGAGAAGAAAGGAGAGGAGAAAATAGCTGGATGACATTTGGAACAATGTCTGTCACGGTCGTGATGTGTGAATCGGAGACATGTCGGGTCAGTTATTAGTCTGTCAGAAATGATGTTTGTAAGACTGGAGTTAATTACACGGAAACAGTGAGAGAGATGGATTGTTATTGGAGTTTTTTTCTTCTTCTGTGTGTGTTGCTGTGGAATGTTCATGTGTATCCGTCCACCCATTATCTATACACCGCTTAATCCTCATGGGAGGGCTGGAGTCTGTCCCAGGACACCCTGGACAGGTCACCAGTCTATCACAGGGCTACAC